AAGAATGCCTGTGTTTATGTGTTTTATTTTTCACTTTGTTTAAACCAGTAGTTATGTTTAACTCTTTACTTACATTATCCTTATAGTAGTATTTATTTACTGCTTCTGAATGAACTCATAGTGCCTAAAACAGATTGTTAACAGTATGGTGGGAAAATTACATTTCTTTTTTTCTTTTTTTCTTTTTTTAGTATACTTTTATTTCATGTGCATTGTTGTTTTGCCATGGGTGTTGAGTCCCCTGGAACTGGAATTATAGACAATTGTAATGTCTGTAATTGCCGTGCATGCTGGGAACTGAATCTGGTTCCTCTGGAAGGGTAGTCAGTGCTCCTAACCACTGAGGCACCTCTCCAGTCCCAGAAAGTTACATTTCTAATGTATTTATTTTTCTGGAGATTAAATGCAGAGCCATATACCATATTTGAGGCAAGTGCCCATCATTGGCCTGTGTACCCTAACCAGCTCATGACTTTCAGATCATCAGTAAACTGAGCTTATAGTTCAAAGTTGTTGATCAATTACAGAAATACAGGAGACACATTTGGGGCTTTAAACACTGTTGTGAGAAGGTGAGTGTGGTGCTTATCAGTGTTGCAGTGAGAGCACACTGTGTTGCTAAACTCTCCGTCCTGTTGTCTCTAGTGCGGCCAGACTCCCCTGATGATAGCTGCGGAACAGGGCAATGTGGAGATAGTGAAAGAACTGATTAAGAATGGAGCCAACTGCAACCTGGAAGATCTGGTATGCATGCATGGGCTGCTCAGTAGTCCTCTGATCTGTTCATGGAAGTGGTGGGGGAGTGATGACTAAAGGTGGTGCTTTGGGCCGGGCGGTGGTGGCGCACGCCTTTAATCCCAGCACTCGGGAGGCAGAGGCAGAGGCAGGTGGATCTCTGTGAGTTTGAGGCCAGCCTGGGCTACCAAGTGAGTTCCAGGAAAGGCGCAAAGCTACACAGAGAAACCCTGTCTTGAAAAACAAAACAAAACAAAACAAAAAGATGGTGCTTTGGGAGCTGGATGTGGTTCTTTATGCTTTTATCACAGTCCCAGCACTCAGGAGGCAGAAGCAGGAGGGACTCCGAGTTCCAGGCCAGCCTGGTCTACATAGACAGTTCCATGTCTACATAGACAGTTCTTGGTCTACATAGAGAATTCCAGGCTAGTCATGGTGCCATAGTGAGACTCTGCCTCTAAACAAACAAACAAGCATTTTAAATGTGCTTTGAGATATATCTCACCTTTGCCTTATGTGCTACATTTTTTTTTTGTTATTATTTTTTTAATCAGGAGAGAATTTTTTGCTTGCAACCAAGTATTTCAGCTCCTTCTTGTTTTTCCCTCTGTACATTGCATGCCTGAAGCTCATATCTGTGCAATCAAGTGTCTTCAGAATATTTCTATGTCTGAGCTGTGCTGTTAGGTGGTTTTCTGGAGTTGTAACTTACAGATTGTGTTCTGTTTGATGATTATCCCTTCTGATACTCTTCTCAGGGACAAATCACCATCCTGTTTCTTTTCGATTTCCTGGGATTCTTAGACTTACTTTGGGTTCACACAACCACATTCTTTTGCTTTGAGTGACCATTTGAATTTTTTGTTTTTGAGACAGGGTCTCACTGTATAGACCTCCCTCTGCCTCTCCAATGCTGAGATTAAAAGCATGTGTTACTATGATTCCTGGTGTGATTATTTGAATTAATTCACTCCCTATAAAGCAGTGGTTCTCAATCTTTCCAATGTTGTGGCCCTGTAACACAGTTCCTCATGTTGTGCTGACCCCCCCACCACAAAATTATTTTTTGTTGCTACTTTATAACTGTAATTTTGCTACTGTTATGAGTCATAATGTAAATATTTTTGGAGATAGAGGTTTGTCAAAGGGATTGCAACCCATAGGTTGAGAACCACTGTGTTAAATAAAAATTAGGACAATTCTTTATTTTATTTATAAAACAGGAGATCATAGTTTTCTTTGTCACAAGATTTCTTTTTTTTGTTAAATTTATTAATTATGTATAGTGTTCTGCCTGCATGTATGCCTGTAGGCCAGAAGAGGGCACCAGACTTCATTATGGAGTTTGTGAGCCACCATGTGGTTGCTGGGAATTGAACTCAGGACCTCTGGAAGAGCAGCCAGTGCTCTTAACCACTGAGCCATCTCTCCAGCCCCCATTACAAGGTTTCTATCATCCCCACCGTCAGTGGCTGTACTTGAACACTGTGTGCATGTGTCCTCTCATCGGGTCACAGGCTCTTGAGTTTGAATAACACTTGCTAGCTGTAGGATCGCCCTTGAGTGTTGGTGGTCAGTCCAGGAAGGAGCCGGAACAAGCACCCGTGACACTGCTCTCTGTAACTGTTAGTCCTGACACAGGCAGGCGATAGTCCTGACGCTTTGTACGGTCGGAGGAAACGCTGAAGGAGACCCCAGACTCAAATAGCATGTAGCAGCAAAGAGCGTTTATTAATATTTCAGCCTTTGTGGGGCCATTCACCTTTACAAAATGGCAACGACCCTGAGAGGAGCGTGCAGGCTCCTTTTAAGCACAGCTAAGGAGAGTTTCCGGGACAGTTGGGTCATCTCAAGTATGATTGGTTACACAGGTAGCAGTTGCATTAGTATACTTTTAATTGGCTGAGCTTTATTCTTATCGTTTTTTTGGACACACTTCCACAAGTTTGGGCAAGTTTGGACATGACTCAGAAGGAGCTGCTGATTTTCTTAAGACCTTGTGAGGCTGGCTCAGGCCTCGTCCTTGAATACAAGGACATTGTGGATAAATGACCTTTTGTGGGAGAGACACCTGTTTTGTCCTTCTCAAGAACTGAAACCTAAACTCAGATGTGAGGGTGGTTGAGTTTAACCCCTTCAGCAGGCAGGTAAAGCCTTAGAGACAGCTCTGTGTTGTTCCACGGAGGCTTAGCATGGCTCACGTTATGTCAGTTTGGACACTCATTTGGCATGTAAATTCTAGCATACCCCTCACTTTGGAATGTTGTTTCTTATTTTGAAATGTGACATTTTGAATATTTTTCAAGGATAACTGGACAGCACTTATATCTGCGTCTAAAGAGGGGCACATCCACATCGTGGAGGAGCTGCTGAAGTGTGGGGCCAACCTGGAGCACCGTGACATGGTATGTGTGTTTTCT